ACGATATTGATGACCATTTTATCTTGTAAAGTATCGATTTTGTGACTATGAGTAGATTCGAGTATGATTGTATTACTTTTACGTAAATAATTAAGCTTTGTTTACATTTACATTTACAAAAATTATTTTGTCTTCAAAATGACAGTATAACTGTCGAAATGTTGATAAATAAACATCAAAATGTTAAACAAACAAAAATCCCCATGGTCATATTCGGAATCAGCATGGTCGATAACCTATAACCCACTAGATTTCGATCAAAAAGTGATTTATAACCTCGAGAGATTCCCTCGTCAGTTCTTGCTTTCTCGGAAGAGAAGCCGAAATACCTTGGGACTTGGAGCGACAGATATTCAGCTATTCTTTTCTAAAGATCGCATTCAGCTTTAGTCCAACGCAAAACAGGTTGCTCGAATTTCTCCGCAAATGAGAAGATTCTATACAAGTAATAACAGTAGCTACAAAAAAAAATTCCGTCATATCAAGACTCGAATCGTTTGAGACACAAAAATAATCGAAACTCGAGACTACAATATCGAGGCTAGGCCTGCAAAAGTTCACGTTCGCGTTCCTTGAATGTGAACGTTAAAGCACTGGTGAACGTGAGCTTTTTTTATACGAACGGTGTTCATATCGTCTGAAGTAAATATAAACTTCTGTTCTTGTACTATATTTCTGCTCGATCTTATCTGATCAATAGAAACTCTAGTGGAGATAGTCTGCTCAGGACAGTGACCAGATTATTGTAATGTAAAAGGAATACCCCTTGATTCTCTGATCAAGACATTGATTCTTCCAAGAACAGATCGAGGATTTTTTTGTCCAGAAGACTAGTTTTTCCGGCACTGGAACCGAAGTTCCTTGGTCCAAACCATTACAGTAACTATATACGTTTTCCTTTGTTATCGTAACCCATCTGGGACAAACGAGCGTTGCTTTTTCAGTAAACACAACTGGTAATGGAGAAAGCTGTTTCACTTGGTATACTACTAGGCGAAATTGCTACATACGATTTTTCAATACTATTCATTCCACACAAAATCAACACCGTTCGTATAAAATAAAGATAACGTTCACCAGAACATTCGCGCTCACGTTCAAAAAACGTCATGTTTAGCGTTCACGTTCAAGGAACATCAGCATGCTTTAGCGTTACGTTCAAAGAACGGTAGAAAGGAACGTTGAACTTTTGCAGGCTTCTCGTCTCTGTACATGCCTAATTACATGATCGTATTTAATAAATATTTGAATGAGAATATTTCTCCTGGAAATATGTTCAGTAGATTACGCATATATTTAGAAAGTTTTCACAGTTTTGCTTACTAGGGAAACGTTGACAAACTTTTCTAACCGGATAGAAGGCAAGTAGAATAGTGGAAACTAACTTTACCAAGAACAGATGTATGAAAAATCATTCAGTTCAAAAACTAAATTTTTTTCTTGAACATTAGAGATCCAAAATCATAAAACGTTTTCACTATTGACAACTGTTATTTTTCTTATGTTACTCTTAAGGCCCCCCCTCTTTTTTTACCATCCTGGAAACTAGGGAAGCTAATGTCGGATCGGGTTCTAATTCATACCAGAGATAGAACATCGAAAAAGAAAATCGATATAATATTTTTGCCTAGAATTTTCTGACGTGTTCTTCTACAGGTTTTCTGGAAAACTCCAGTTTTCATTGGCACACATTACGACCCTGGAAAAAATGATCCGATCGAACTCAAAATTTTACCACAGATACATCAGACCCTATCTCAGGTTCTTTTTTTTCTTTTTGAAAAATATTCTTTCCTTCTCGAGATATCCTAAAAATAGTAAAAATCCCATATAAAAAACCGGTTTTTCATTTTGAAAACCTTCTCACGCCGAAAGTTGAAGTCGAAAACACTTTTTAAGAAAAAAGAATCTAAGGTAGGGCCTGAAGTATCTGTGAAAAAATTTTGAGCTCGATCGGACCATTTTTTCGAGGGGTCGTAATGTGTGCTAATTGAAGGGACTATTGAAAAAACGCATAGTGAGAAAAACACATATTGTATACAGGACTCTGTTCCTCAAGGCATTTGCGGCTATGCTTATATCTCTAAGAAAACTCATCGGAAAATTCTGGAAAACATCTCATTTTGAAGAGTACATTTTCTTCTATCATGCTATATATAAGAAAAAAATTTGAATATATAGATGAGGAGAGAAAAATTTATGAACTTAAACAAAACACTTAAAATAGCTGAAAGTGGTCTCATTTTATAGCCCAGACTTTCCTCTACATTAGACTATGATCAGCTCAAAATGACAAATTTTCTGCAAAAAAGAGGGGGGAGGAATACCCTTAAATTTTAATAATGTTAGTGTACGCCACCGTTTTAGTTTGTATGTCAATGAGTTCACTTCAATATAATAATATTTTTATTACATAAATAATTGCGCAAGGTCAAAAAAATGTGTAAGCGTTGTTAAATTACGAAAAACAACACACTCTTCTTTACATGTGCAGTACGAATGAGTAAACAGTTTTCCAACGAGAAAGGACACCAAAACCAACTAAGCAAGAAAAAAAATGATTGGAATGTTAGTAACAAAAATATGAGTAATAAAACACATGTAGCAAACATAGTGAAGTATTTTTTGAACAAAAAAGAAAACAAAAACTTTAGCACACGAATTTCAAGCAGATCTCATGGAATAGTACAAAAAGAAAAAATAGACAAATCTGATTCTCTATTTTAGACAGAAAAGATCTTATATTAGAGATACTCTAAATGAGATAAAAAACTTCGACATTCTTTTCGAGTTTTGTGGTTCGACGTTAAAAATAAAACAGTTTTAAGAAAGAAAATGTTCAACAGTTTAAAAAATGATCGATGAAACAGACTTTTACTGAATTTTTAAGAGATTCTACGCACCTTTTCTACGAGCGTAAAGGAGAAACAAAAAACCCACTAAAAATCAGTTATAATCGTATGATTGATTTCTAGCTATAAAACTTTAATAGTTAGAGACCTTCAAATTTCATCTATCTCTGATAAAGTAGCTACGAAGGAATATCACTATAAATATTTAAGATATTTGAAGATATTGTTCTTGTGTAATTCATATTTTCGAAGTTGCATAGATAAAGTCTGTACCACTGAATATCCATTGTGTCAAAAATGTTCTAAGGTAGTGGTTTGTATTCATTGTTTTCATTCTTTTTCAAGATGCCTATAACGAGAAAATAAATGAATGAATGAATGAATCTATACATCCCTGTTGAAAAAGGTCATAGAAAAATTATAAAAGAAATGTGATTAATACGATTTTATTTTTAATTTCAAACAATTTAATGAAATGTCTATAAAATAATTTCTTAATGATTGATAGGGATGCCAACTAGAAAAACAGTAAAGAGGGACGTTGGGGAGGACTGTTTTTTCTACAAAGAGGAACAACACAAAACACATTATTTGTCGTGCGATATCATTGAGAAAATTAAAGGCATGTGAATATATTCTTTTATTCTGGTTTTTCTAATATTACTATGTCAAAACATAAAATTTAAGGCAAATATCTTTTGTTACACTAAAAATAATAAAAGTATCAATTTAAACGTAATTTTTTACTTCTATGTACATATTTTTCACTTCCACGAATATTCTTGAGAAGTTCTTTGTTATTTAAAATCAAAGAATGAAAATGAGTACACGTTAAATTTGTATTCATCCTAATTCTTCATTCTGCGTTCAGTGCTTTTTCTTATGTGAAATCTCCAAGAGGGAAGGAAACAGCTACTGATTTTTCGATTTAAACAGTTTAAATCGAAAAATCGCTAAAAATCGGTAAAAATCCTTGAAAGTTGGTGAAAATTGAAAAATCAACTGTTTCCTTCTTGGCAATCTTACATAAGAAAAACTACTAAACACTCAAGGTCTGTTGAACTGGAAGCGTAATACAAAAGTGAAAAGTCCATTGAAGATGGTCAAAAGAAAATATTCTTAAAAAGGGGACATCCTGAGGGACACAAATCTTTAAATGTGGGACTGTCCCCCTTCCACATTTGGCAATCCTGATGGTTGGATAAATAAAAACGTCTACATTCCGCGCAAGTTATGAAACTATAAAATTGATGAACATTTTAGTGAAAACTACATATTTCTATGTGTGATGCGAGCTAAGAATTCTTTATTTCTTTTATCTTTCTAACAAAATAGTGAAAAAATACCTTACACATTTTATATCCATTTTTGGGTTATTTTCGATGCTTAGGCTCTTTCTTTTTCTCTCTCGATCTTCATAGAACTTGAAATTCCTTTTCTTGTTTGAAAGAGACGTCAAAATCTATTGATGTCTGATTTATACGTGGTTTAATTGCGAGAGAAGGGTTTTTCTGTAAAATTTAGAAGCACATAATGGCTCTTTCAAACAATGGAGATGATGGTTTAAACAATCCTCGTCAAAATAAGATCTCTCTCACTCCTGTAAGGCATTTCGTTAAGACGATATGAATTTTCTTCTCTGTTTGGCAGATTATACTCATTTTGAGCGAACTACAGTTACTGTTTCTAACGACAATATAGAAAACCTACATCTTCTTGTTTAAACCATCTTCTCCAGCAAAACTGGATATAAAATTAGCGATTTTTGTGCTATTTTGCTGGAAAGGTAAAAAAATAAAGATTTCTTAGCTCTGAAGACCTGCACTTTTTTTGCCAAAATTTTCATAGCTTATGCGGGATGTAGACGCTAGCGATGAAGGTCAATGTAATGACGGTAGATTTCACATGGATTCATTCAATTACATTGTATTTTTATTGTTATAAAATGAGGCTTAACAGATTTAAAAACCTATTTTTCTTCTATTCCATTATTTGAAACTGTTGTAAAAAATTCGTAAAAATTTAGCGCTAATTATTTTCACAAGAGTAATTGACGATGATATTGAAAGATTTATTTCAGATTTTTACTATTTTTTGAACGTACAAAAACAAATTTTCGTTTAATAGAATGATGAACTAAAATTATTCTTACGTACCATATTTCATTCGTATTTGATCCGTAACATTTTTTCGCTCAGCTGCTCTAAAAGTACATAAATAGAATACACATAAATGGATCGTGTCTAATTATGTCTCAACCAGTTTCTTACCGAACTTCTTGTGCTGCTTTTCTTTCTTCCGTTTTCGCTCGATCTTTATCTTGTCGTTGAATCTCTCTAGAATAGATACAAAATTGTATGTAGCAAACAGAAGAGATATATTGCTTATTTTCTTACTTTCTTTGTGCACGTTTATTGCAACGTCGACATATACAACAAATAATCACAATAATTCCAAGCAATACTACGCCTCCAACGGAACACAAGACAATGAGTAGAACTTTGGCATTTCCTAAACAAATAAATGATAAATGTTATCATAATTCTATTTCACAAAGTATTTGCAGAAGTTAAAGACAAGTCTTCTAACATTGATTTTCTAAGTTTAATCAATGTGAAAACGGATATAGTTTACCTATGCACTACATACTACGGTAAATAGTAGGCATGCAACAGTTTTGTTTTCGTATTTTCCAAAAAATGATTTATATTTTTACCATGTTTGTTTGTTTTTTTAAAAATGGTTGTATTCGATTTTTAAAGAAACCAAGCAACTTTAAAAATATCTACTTTATATCATCTTGCAGAGAAATGTTTGCTCTACAAAGTTGCTAATTTCAGAAAAGATAAATCATTTTTTGAAAAACACGAAAAAGAATTGTGAAAAAACTGTTGCATGCCTAGTAAAAAGCGGCTAAAAAATAAGTATAATACACGATTCACAGTATCCCACATCAAGGAGGCTGTATCACAAAAAAGCTTAAGCCACAAGGTGACTTAAGCCATGGAAAATGTAGTCTTAAAGTTAAGACCGAAAACATAAGTCGGATTTAAGTCATTGATGCATTTTTCGAATAGCTCAGGCATTTAACGATACAATTCGACGAAAACCACATCTAAGGATTAGAGAATAAATATTTCGTTATTTTGCGAATTTTTGTCCCAAGTTTGTCACTGTGGTTAACAACTTTTAAAAAATAAACAAATCGTCAACATAAGTATTTTCGTGATACGGTTTAAGTTCCTGAACTTAAATCGGTCTTAAACTTAGACTTAAGTTTTTTCGTGATACGACTCCTCCAGAAAGTTATTTATTCGACGATATTTCTTTATATTTTGAGCAACAGTTCAACGAAATCCTCCTCACAATTGTGCTAAATTGTTTCCAAGTTTTCGACTATTCTGCACTATCAATCGTGCTAGTCGTTTTAGCGACTAAAAGTCAGACGTTCTTCGATCATTTAATGCTACTCAGAAAGGCATCTGATTCCATGAAGTAGTTAATGGTGTGCCAGTCGTTAAACTCACAGTTCTCAATAGAAAAAGTGTTTGGCACGCGTATCGATCACCTTTTGCAACTAAATATGTGCCAGACACGTTTTTATGTCAGAAAGCTGTAAAAATTATAAAAAAATTCATAATTTTAGCCCAAGCGCTCTTCATATTGTTTGCATGCGAAAATGCTCTCAATATACAAGAATCTCACATATGAGATATTGTAAGACATAGTGAAAATTTCGTTAAAATGCTGCTCACAATGTGACAAAATAGTCCAAATAAATGTTCTGATACTGTGTCGTGTACTGTTCTGCTTTTCGCTTTTGACCGTATTATTTTCTTACAGTGTATCTGAAACTTCCTTTAAGCTTCTATTTGAATTTTACCATTTTAGATTTTCCTTTTCTCATAGATAATTCCAGTTTTTCTTTTGAATATTTACAGCAAATTTCGAACATCATACATTCATCAAATATCTTATTCGAGTATCAATACAAGATCCGATATAGAGAGGTGTCAGTTCATCACGTTTTTTGTAACGATAGATCGAAATTTTCGTAAGTTATCCATAACTTTATTTCCACTAAGAAGAATATGGTGAGAAATTGTTTCTTAACAACACAGAGAAACTCTTTTGTCGAGAAAAAAATCGAACAGTAGTTACTTTGAAAATCGATTATGATAAAAAAAAAGCTAGTTTACAGTAGAAAATCGCAAACTCTTCGAACGGGACAATGATTTGTGAATTATATTCTACATCATATTTACTGTCAAAACTGGACTCTACTGCTTCTTTTCAATGTAATTTACAGAAAAATTCATAGAAAATCAACTAATAAATCTT